TGGCGCCCGAGACCTGCCCGGCCTGCGCCACCAAGCTGTGCCAGAGACACGGCTGTGGCCGTGGCAGCCGCGTAGGGGCCCTCGAGGGGGAAGCCGCCAGGGGACGCGGGGGGGCCACCAAAGGGCCGTGGGGAGTCCAGCGAGTCCACCGGCGAGAGCGTGACCGAGCTCTCCGCCAAGGGCCCCGGGCAGGCCAGGGTCAGCTTCTTGCCCCGCCCCCGGGCGCCCTGAGGCCCCAGCCCCGCCTTCCCAGGAGGCCTCCGGCTCTTCTTGCCCCCGGACTGTGCCACCTTGAGGCCTGGGAGGAAGGCCCCGGGCGGGCAGAGCAAGGGCCCCAGGCCGTGGGGGCCAGGGGGGCTACGGGGCCCACTGGGCTGGTCTAGCAAGCGCACGATGTCCTGGTGCAGCCGCTCCTGGGCCACATCCCGCGGCAGCCTGTCCAGGTGGTCTGTGATCTCACGGTTGGCAAAGTGGTCCAGCAGCAGCTTGGCAGCCTCAAAGCTGCCCTCCCTGGCAGCCAGGAACAGCGGAGTCTCCTCCTGTGGCGGCCCAGAACCCACAAGATGTCAGGGTCACAAGAGTCAGGATTAACTGCTGGCTAACATCACAGAGGCCTCCCGTCTCTGGGGGAACCGGAGATCTAAGAGTTCATACTCTCCAGCCAGACAGACCTCGGTCGGAATCTCAGCTCTGCTGGGGAAAATTGGGCAAGTTCTTTCCTTTAAGCCACATTCATCCAGCACCCACTAAGCTTCAGGCCACAAAAGCCAGGACCAGGGTGAGGAGGGTGAAGCACTCGCCTTAGGCATAAAATTTAAGGGGGCATCAAAATAAATGATATTTTAATGAAAAAATTTTAAATTAAGATCGATGCAAAAAGAATCCATAATGAATATATTGGAAATTTTAAATAAGGATGGAATCCAACCCCGCACCCCTTTGAGCCTCACTCTTTCATCTGTAAAATGAGACTAATACCACCTTGCAAGGGTTTTTAAACAACGATCATAACATCTACCTTTTATTGAGGATGTGCTAAAGCACTTTATAAAAGCTTTAGCTCACTGAATCCTCGAAAGAGGCAATGAGGTGGGTACCATTGCTTCCCCATTTCGAGGATGAGAACAGAGGTTCAAAAGAGTTAAGCAACTTGCCCAAGGTCACCCAGCAACTGCCATACACTTCCTCCTCTGATCCACTATTGAAACCCCTTGGGCCCAAGTCCCACACCTGAAAGCTGGCTGCAGGCAGGGTGAATGCCCCCACTAGCCTACCCCAACCTGCTCTCTGCCACCTGTGGAAGCTGTGCCAGGGCTGACTCCCAGGTGGGCCAAGGGCTGGGGCTCACCTTGCTATCTTGCATGTCTTTGTTAGCTCCATTTTTGAGCAGGGCCAAGGTGGCCTCCACGTTGTTGACAGCTGCAGCCCAGTGTAAGGCTGATTTTCCTGGGGCGGGGAGGGAGTGAAGGAAGGTCAGGGTCAGGACCAGGCTCATTTTCTGGCCCCCCAACAGCAGGGGGACAGAAAATGTCTAGAATATGGCCTGGGATGGGGGGAGGGTAGGCCTGCCACGAGTATCTGAGTAACTGTGTTTGGGTCCATGTGTGTGCACACCTGTAGATGTAACTCTCCATATACGGGGGGTACTACGTGGACCTCACTCAGTGGTACCTAGAGCTGTGCTGTCCAGGCCACCAGTCACATGTGGTTCTTTAGTTTATGTAAATTAAAATTACAAAAAAAAAAAAAAAAAATGGAGTTCCCTGGTGGTCTAGTGGTTAGGATTCCGGGCTTTCACTGCTGTGGCCTGGGTTCAGTCCCTGGTCGGGAAACAGATCCCACATGCCGCACAGGGCAGCCAAAAGAAAAAAAACAGTAAAATAAATTAAATTAAATTGGTACCAAGACCATTTAACAGGGAAAGGATAGCTTTCTCAACGAAAGGTGCTGGGACAACTGTTATCTCCACGTGCAAAACAATAAAGCTGGACCCCTACTACACACCATATACAAAAAAATAATTCAAAATGAGTCAAAGACCTAAATGTAAAAGCTCAAACTATAAAACATTTAGAAAAAAACATAGGAGTAAATCTTCATGCCCTTGAATTAGGTAAAGGAGTCTTAGATATGACACCCAAAACACAAGCAACAATAACAAAAACGACAAAAATAGATAAATTGGACATCATCAAGATGAAAACTTTTGTGCTTGTAAGGACACCACCTAGAAAGTAAAAAGAAAACCTACAAATATATTAAACCTACCATATGTTTGATAAGAGACATACCTAGACTGTATGAAGAACTTCTACAGCTCAATAATAAAAAGACGAATAACCCACTTTAAAAATGGTCAAAGAATCTGAATAGACATTTCTCCAAAGAAGATACACAAGTGGACAATAAGCATGTGAAGAGATGCTCAACATCATTAGCCACCAGGGAGATGCAAATCAAACCACAATGAGATACTAAATCACATCCACTAGGAAGACTAGAACAAAAATACAGATAATAAAAAATAAATAAATAAAAATTAAAAAAAAAAAAGATAATAGCAAGTGTTGGTGAGGATGTGGAAATACTGGAACCTTCATACACTGTTGGTAGGAATGTAAAACAGGGCAGCCACTGTGGAAAACAGTCTGGCAGTTCCTTAAAAGGTTAAACAGAGTTTCCATGTGACCCAGCAATTCTGTTCCTAGGGATATACCCAAGAGAAATGAAAACATATGTCCACACAAAAAATGATACAGGACTGTCCATAGCAGCATTATTCATAACAGCCAAAAATCAGAAACAGCCCAAATGTCCATCGGTGGATGAATGGATAAACAAAATGTGGTATATCCATATAACAGAATATTATTTATTCATTAAAAAACAAAAAAGAAGTAATACTGATACACGCTACAACATTTGTAAACCTCAAAAACATCGTGCTAAGTGAAAGAAGCCAGTCAAAAAAGACCACATATTGTATGATTCCATTTATATGAAATAACCAATCCATATAGAGAGAAAGTACATTAGCGGTTGCCTAAGGGCCAGGAAGATGAGGGGGATTGAAGGGGTGATGGCTAAGAGGTGAGGGCTTCTTTTTCAGGTGATGAAAACATTTAAAATTTTATGATGATGATATTTGTACAACTATGTGGTTTTACTAAAAATCATTGGATTTTATACTTGAAATGGATGAATTGCATGGTACCTGAATTATATGTCAGTACAGCTGGGGTATTTTTAAGTAGGCAAAACAAAGGTTAAAACATTAAATGAAATAAAACAGTTCTTTGCTCACTCCAGCCACATTTCAAGTGCTTGACAGCACATGCCAGTGGCTACCATATTGAACAGAACAGACTAAGAATATTTCCATCATCACAGAAAGTTCTATTGGACAGTGCTCTTCTAAAGCCCTATTTCCCATCCAGGGGTGATTTTCCTCTAAGGGGCATTTGGCAATGCCTGGAGATATTTTTGGTTGTCACAACTGAGAGGTGGGGTGCTATTGGCATCAGTGGGTGGAAGCCAGGGATGCTACTTAACATCCTACACTGGATAAAGAAGATGTGGTACATATATACAGTGGAATATTACTCAGCCACAAAAAAAGAATGAAATAATGCCATCTGTAGCAACATGGATGGACCTAGAGATTGTCATACTGAGTGAAGTAAGTCAGGCAGAGAAAGACAAATATCATATGATGTCGCTTATATGTGGGATCTTAAAAAATGGTACAAAAAAAATGGTACAAATGAACTTATATACAAAACAGAAATAGAGCCACAGATGTAGAAAACAAACTTATGGTTACCAGGGGAACAAGGGGGGAGGGATAAGTTAGGAGATTGGGATTGACACATACATACTATCATACATAAAATAGATAACTAATAAGGACCTCCTATATAGCACAGGGAACTCTACTCAATGCTCTGTAATGGCCTAGATGGGAAAGAATCTAAAACAGAGTGGATATACGTGTATGTATAACTGATTCAGTTTGCTGTACACCTGAAACTAACACAACATTGTAAATCGACTATCCTCCAATAAAAATTTTTAAATAAAAAAAATTTTTTTAATAAATAAATTTAAAAAAACATCCTTCACTACACAGGACGGCCCCCCACCACAAAGAATGATCCAACCCCACATGTCAATGTTGCTGAGATTGAGAACACCTGCTCCAAAGGCTGTTTCTAAGAGTCAAAGGGCAGGTCACTGTTGTGCAAGTAAGCCACCTCCAGGGACCGAGCGGCCCTCACCTATAGATCTGGCTGATTCGCAAATTTATTACACCAGTTGTCCAGCAGATGGCACCAGAGTAAGTTCTTCTAACAAAGCAGATGGAAGGGAAGTGTCTTGGGAAGGGCACCTTTTCCTGAACCACTGCCACACAGTATGGGCTAATGGGAGCCAATTTTTTTTTTTTTTTTAATGCATGAGTGTAGGTCCATGTTGAAACCCTGTTATGAGTACACGAGTTTCATTGACTGGGTGTCAGTGTGGGTGTGAGTTCACACCAACAGTCAGGGCCCAGATGACACCCTCTCAGCCCCCACCCACCACTACCCGCCACAGCCTACCGAGTTCATCCACAGCATTGACATCGGCATGGCTGGCGATGAGCTCTTCCACCATGCCCTCCACTGCCAGGCGGGCCGCCAGGATCAGCGCTGTGGAGCCATCTGCCATGCGGGCATCCAGGTCTGTGGAGCGGTTCCGGATGAGAATCTAAGGGAGATGGGGCACAGCAGGAGGAGTCATGGCAAGAACAAAGGGATGAGAAGCACCTCTAAGCCCTATGAGGACCCCAACCAATACACCCCATGGAACTGATGAGGTTCAGGGAATAGCTTCTTGCCAGAAACTGTACTCCCATATATCCCCATCTTACAAATGAGAAAGAGGAGCTCTGAAAGGCAGAACCAGGGCTTGAACCCAAGTCGGTCTGATGCCTGTCCCAGCTCTGAAGTCCAAAGAGGTGAGCCCATCTCACCTGGAAAACGCCCTGGGCATCAGCAGTGACGGCTGTGTGCAGGGGGGTGCGGCCTGAGTGGTCCTGGGCATTGGTGTCTGCCCCAGCATCCAGCAGCCGCTTGGCCGCATCAGCCCGGGCATAGCGGGCAGCCAGGTGCAGGGCCGTCTCACCCGTGCGGTCAGTCCGAGCCCCAAGCTGTGCCCCCTGGCAGATAAGGTCTGAGATGATGCTGGCTGACGTGTCTTCTGCCTCGTCCTCCTCAGCTGGGATTGCTTCCAGTGCCCCCCCACAGAAGGAGGCCAGCATTAGCGGGGTGAAGCCATCTGCAGGGACCAGGAGTGTGTCACAAGGGAGGTGGGCACAGGGCCTTTCTGGGGAATACGATTGAGGGCACTGCATTAGGAGGAAGTGGGACATGTGGAAACACAAGAGGGAATGGCAAATCCTCCCATCACACACACACACCTGTGTCAGGTGCCCCAGAAGCCAACCCAGGATGAGGATTCATGGGCATGTGATTTGTCACAGAAGGGCTCCTAGGTAGTAGGGGACACAGAACGAAGGAGGGAGGCAGTCAAACAAGTGTGCAACCTTGGGCAAATGCCTGGAGAGTTATTTCAGCCTGATCCCAAAGGGGGACTGTGGAAGCTGAGCTATACCCCAGAGTTGTAATCCAGCTTGAGTCAAAGGAGCTGAGCCTTTCATACTCCTGCATCCACTGGTCAGGAGCCGCCCCCAGGGACATAAAATACCAAGCACCTCAGGCCCCAGGTAGCCTGAAGGGTTAGGCTCTCTTCCCCAGCTCTCTTCAAAAGAGAGCCATAGGTCCTGGTCATTGGGAGCAAAAGCAAAAAACAGAGCTGGGGAAGGCATATCCCAAAATGTGGCAAAGACAAATCCAAGAGGATCCAGATAACATGGTCTGCTATACTCTTCATGAGCATTTGCTCTTGTTTCCCTTAGGAGGCTACTTGCATCCCATTCTCCATCCTCAAGCCCTAGGTAAAGCCAAATCCTTCCTTCAAGGACAGGAATATAGCTCAGGCCTGTCGATCTGCATATTCCAGGCCCCAGGCCACACTGATTGGTTCAGGAATTGGTATGTCCATCCAATCAGAACTCATCCTGGGACTTTTGCTGGTACATATGGGAAAAAGATTTTGTAAGGCCTGTCCCACCTGTAGCTATCAGTGCCTGCAGGAAAAAGCCTACTTGGGCTGTGGAGCCAAGAGGTGTTGAGTCCTGGATCCAAATGTGCCTGAAGCTTCCATTTACATGAGCCAGTAAATCCCTTGTTTTACTTAAGTTAGCTTGAGTTGGGCTATTAAAAGTTACAACCAAAAGTCCTGATTAACACACACCCCCACAGACGGACACCCAGACACACCCAGCTTTCCCCAGAAACAGACCCAGATGCAACCTCTCATGAGTAGGATGGATAAAGGGCATCCTGGAGGGAGGGATGCCTGACCTGGACCACGCACGTTGACATCCATGCCATCAGCATCTGCATCACCCTGTGGTGGCGTCAATGCCATGGCTGGTGCCACACGGATGTCGGCAGCAACCAGGTGGTGTTGAGTCCACTGGCGGCAATCCACAGCATCCTCAGCTCCCACACCAGGCTCCTCTACCTGGAGGCACAAGGACCCAGGTTCTCACAAGGGGTTGGGAGACACAGTTAGAGGGACAGTCTGGGCATTCCCATAGGTTTCTCTCATGGAGATGCACACATGGCCCCAAGAAACCATTAACACCCTGCTTCTTTTATAGATAAGGAAATGGGAAATTGATGTACTGGAGCTCAGAGAACTCATAAGAGGAAGAACTGGGATTTTAATCCGGGTTAGAAGGGCAGAGGGTCTGGGAACCCACGGTAGTGATCAAGGAAGAGACACAGAGGGGACTTCCCTGGTGGTCCAGTGGTTAAGACTCCGCACTTCCAATGCAGGGGACGCAGGGTACTAAGATCCCACCATGCCGTGCAGTGTGGCCAAAAAATTAAAAATAAAATAAATAAAATATTTTTTTAATTTTAAAAAAAGGAAGACTATGTATAACTGATTCACTTTGTTATAAAGCAGAAACTAACACACCATTGTAAAGCAATTATACCCCAATAAAGATGTTAAAAAAAAAAAAAAGGAAAAGACACAGAGCATAACACCTGTCAGCACACAACTGTCTATACACTAGATAGGAACATACCAAAAATGAAATTAAGAGAACAATTCTATTGACAACGGTATGAAAAAGAACAAAAAACTTTAAAATTAAATTCAACAGAAGAAATGCAAGACTTGTATTCTGGAAATTCCAAATCACTGGTTAAAGAAATGTGGGAGTAGAGGGATCCCGCAATAATAATAATTCCCAGTATTGGGATTTCCCAATTACCACTGGTGGTCCAGTGGTAAAGAATCCGCCTTACAATGCAGGGGATGCAGGTTCGATCCCTGGTTGGGGAACTAAGATCCCACATGTCTTGGGGCAACTAAGCCCGCATGCCACAACTACTGAGCTCTCACGCCTCAACTAGAGCCCACGTGCCACAAACTATAGAGCCCACATGCCGCAACTACAGAGCCCACGTGCCCTGGAGCCTGAGCACAACTAGAGAAGGGAAAAATCCACGTGCCACAACTAGAGAGAAGCCCACGCACCAAAACGAACAGCCTGTGCACTGCAGTGAAAAATCCCGCATGCCTCAACGAAGATCCCGAATGCCACAACTAAGACCTGATGCAGCCAAAAATATATATAAATAAATAAATAATAAATAAATCTTTAAACAAAATAATAATTCCCAGTATTAATCTGGGAAAGGAGTGAAAGGTGAGAAGCAAGGAGTTGCCCTGGATACCACAGATATGAACATGAGGTATCAGGACCAAATAATCACACACAAATGTACTGATTTACCCTCAGGAGTCTAGCACCTGGGCCCCTCAGAGGAGCTCAATAAATCTCAGACTCATGGTCCAGACGGGAAGAATGAAGTTATGAAAACAGGACAGAATATCCCTAACTAGCCTGCCTGGGCATTTAACAGCCTGCACCAAACACAGAGCCTGATCAAGCCAGACCTGAGCTTAAGGACCCAGGTGGGGAGTTGAATTTCATGAAAGGGGAGAGCCAGGTGATGGACAGCTAACCAGAAAGGGCCATGGAGGATGGGACAGCCTTCAATGTGGATTCAATGTCTGACACTGTCACTTAGTAGGCTTGTGACCCTAGGCAAATCACATTAGAGCTCTGAGCTTCTCATTGGTAAAATAAGGATGATGCAATCATTCCGCAGTGCTAAAATGCCATCGTAAACATTCTGTACCATATACTTAACACCCACTTTTGGATGAGAAAGAAAAAAAAAGCCTGGGGCAAGCAGATTTCTTTAGCTGTCAATTGTAATAGATGTCTTCATTTCAACAAATATTAAAACGTAGGCAGGGGAGGGAATTCCCTGGTGGTCCAGTGGTTGGGACTCCACGCTTTTACTGCCGAGGGCTGGGGTTCAATCCCTGGTTGGGGAACTAAGATCTTGTAAGTCACACAGTGCGGCCAAAAAAAAAGAAAACATAGGCAGGGGAGAGGCAGCTAAGAATGGAGGTGTGTATCAATAGCTACTTTATAGCATCTTCATAAAGATGAACTAAGATACTTTGTGTACATTCAAGACATTCACCAAGTGTCAAAGTAATGCTAGCAGGAGGCTGTTATGAACTGTGCTCCCCAAAAATCATATGCTGAAGGCCTAATCCCCCAACATGACTATATTTGGAGACAGGGCCTTTAATGAAGTAATTAAGGTTCAATAAGATCATGAGTGTGGAGCCCTAATTCAATAGGACCAATGTCCTGATAAGAAGAGGAAGAGATGCCAGAGTTCTCTCTCTATGCACACACAGAGGAAAGGTCACATGAGGACACAGTGAGAAAGCACATTCTACCTGCCAGGAAGAGAGCCCTCACCAAGAACCAACCCTGCCAGCACCTTGATCTTGGACTTCCACCCTCCAGAGCTGTGAGAAGATAAGTGTCTGCTGTTTGAGCCACCAGTCTGTGGTATTTCATTATGGCAGCCCTAGCTGACTAAGACAGGGCCCGCGGCTGTGGCCCCAGGACAGGAAAAGACCAGCTGGGAGTGCTCTCAGGCTGGGCATGCTGGACTAAGTTGGATGCAGCAGAGAGAAAGCAGAGTCACTGTCTGGGTCAGGGGAATCCCGTCTGTAAAGATGCCAGGACCAGGATGGGGTGAGTGCTGTGACTGTTCTCCAGAGCCAGGGACAGCAGAGATTTTCCTGGCTCTCCCACTGACCATCAAGCCCCAACCCAGGATCCTGAGGGCAGGGGTCAGAGGAGGGGACACAACCTTCAGTCGCTTGGCCTCCGGGCACTCTGTGTCCATCCAGTCTGTGGCCACCTCCCCCATCAGACTCTCACCCTTGGCCATGTTCCTGTGGGGCGGGGGGAGGGAGGGGACAATGGGTCAGTAGGGGCAGGGTGCAGGGTCAAGAGACACGGTCCATTGAGGGGATGCAGGATGTGGTCAAGGTTGCAGCGGGTACCATCAGGGGTTGTGATGGGTGACGGCCAGGGTCTTAAGGTGGAACTGGGGAAGCACAGGAGTGGGGTCAGAGGTCAGAGCAGTCAGCTGTGGGACAGGTGAGGGTCCCAGGCATATAGCAGGGGTTATAGAAGGTGACGTCAGGGGTCATGGAGGATAGAGTTATCCTCATAACAGGTAAGAGATGTAGCCCGGATCGAGGAGGTTGTAGAGAGGGGCAGGGGGTCACAGGGTGACAGGAGAGGGGTAAATTCAGGGATTAGGTCAGGGTGGGGTTGGAGTCTCGAGGGACAGGCCAGGGAGTCGGAGGTGAAGCCCACGGCCAAGGCCAAGATTGAGGATCGTGGGGAATGAGCACTGAGTTGGGGTGGACATGGGGTCAGAGGTGAGGTCAAAAGTCAGGGTGTGTTAGAGTCAGAGGTGATATTGGGGGGTCATAGAGGATAGGGTCACGGAGCCAGCAAGGGATTGGGATGCAGACAGGGATCACGAGATCAGTAGTCATGTGGGAACAAATTTTGAGTGTCAGGGTGAAATCTGAGAAGCTGGGGTCAGGGAGGGTTCAGGGTAGAGTCAGAGTAGGATCTGAGTGAGGGAACTGGATCATAGGAAATGGGGCCAAGGGTCACGCATCAGGGGTGATTCCCAGGGATTATCGAGTCAGTGGTCAAGGGGATGAACACTGGGTTTCCAGGCTGGAGTCTGAAGTTAGGGTCAGGTAGGGGTCAGAGGTCAAAGTCAGGTCAAGGTGGGCTCAAGGGCTCACAAAGCCCCACAGTCAGGGACAGGGAATGGGCTGAGTCAGGGTCCTTACTTCATGCCCAGAGCGTCTTGGCCCACGGGTTCCCGCCGGCCCTTGTGGCCAGCTGCAGCATCCTTGTGCAGCGCGAAGCCCTCGGGGAACCAGAGGGTGCTGTGCTCACGCTTGCGGCGGGCCACCATGACGCCCAGGATGAGAATGACCAGCAGAAAGACGGCGCTCGCAGCCAGCAGGGGCAGTAGCGGCACGCTTGGCTCTGGCAGCTCCAGCGGTTCCCCTGCGGGCAGGAAGCAGGGGGTTTCAACCAGGGGCCAAGGCCCACCCCACCATGGGAGCCCCGGTTCCACCCTCATCACCCGCCAGGCTGGCCCTCACCCCGTGCCGCCCGCAGTGGATACGGGAAGTCAAGGCGCTCCACCGCTGACAACGCTCCCAGATAGTCTGCCGCACTCTGGGCGTCGGGAAAACAGTGGTCATTCTCAGGCGACTGCAGGCACAGACGGTTGTCAATCTCCAGCATCACCACAGAGCTGCGGGGACACAACAGAGGGACAGGCAGACTCAGCAGGCACTCCTACAAGCCCTGCACCATGCCCCATCCCCACTGCCCTGCACCAGGCTCGAGCATCTCTACTCACCATGCCACCACTGCCCCCTATCTAGCATCCAACTCCACCACAACCCCAAAACCAGTCTTTTTTTAAATACACTTACTATATATTTGGTGATATTAAGGATATTTATTTTTTGAACTGTGATCATGGTATTATTGTGTTTTAGAGAAAAGAGCTTATTTTTTACAGAAACATACTGACATGTCTACGTACGAAACGACATGCTATCTAGAAATTATTTCAACATAACGTGGGAACTAGAACAAATTGAAGGGACTATGTACGAAATAATAATGGCCCATATGTGTTAATTGTCAATGCTAGGTCCTAAGTACCTAGACGTTCATTACCCTGCTCTGTTTTCGTATATGTTCAAAATTCTTTAACAATTCCCAAAACGAGTCTTGCTGTGGCCACCAGTGTCCTCTGAGCCATGAATCCAACGGTCATTGTTTTCATGTCAACTTCTGCTTCATCAGCCTGGTGCGTCCATCTCCTGCCTGCTATGAGCATTGGCTTCTAGCAGTTGACAGCTGCCTCTCTGGCCTCAGCAAAGTGGGGATCCCTTCACTTGGGAGGTGACACCCCTTAGGGAAGCCTTCAGCCAGGGACTGGCTCATGTGGGGTGTACAAAAGCTGGCCCTCCTGTCTCAAGGTGGGACCAACTGTGAGGTGCTATTCACCCTCCAGAGCTCTCCAAGGGATCAGGCTGAGGCTAGACTCTGGCTGAGGCCGGACCCTGGCTGAGGCTACCTCCTGCTTCAGTTCCTCTCCTGCCCCATTCCCTGCCTACTGAGAGCACCCTTCCAATACATCACATGTATCTGAATCTCCATCTCAGGCTCTGCTTCCAGGAACCCAACCCTCCAAACATCTCCCTTCTTTGGGATGCCCAGTGCCCTGGGCCCTGGCTCTCCCCCTTCTCTTTTCTGAGCTAATTTCCTTCAACCAATCCTTAGGACTCAGTGTCCCCAGATGACCCTTCTGTCCCCACATCTCTCCCCACTTCTTTGTGTCCCTCCCATGGCTGCAATGATTGCCACACCCTTTTTTCTTTCTTCTCTCAATCTTCCGACCCCAACTGCCTCCTGAGGGTCTCTCCGAGACGCCCAGATCCCTCTGGCTTTCACCCTGTGTCTTCACCTTGATGAGACCACTTCCAGCAACTCAGTCACCCCAGCCAGGGACTGGCACATCCATCAACTATCCTCTCCGTCTCCCCCATCCCAGCCATACCCAGTCAGAGGCCCTGCCCCTCATCTCTAGCCTCCAGCCCTCCTCCCTGTGGCACATCCTACTCTGCTCAGAAGCCACATCTCCCTTCTGGCCCCTCTGCCAGGCCCCCAGCAGGAGAGTTCTATATTTTCCATTTCTAAAACAAACAAACAAAAAACTACACATGCCCTTAAACACTCTGCTATACCCCTGCCTCTCCAGAAGGAAATAGCGCTAGACCAGGGTCTATTCTGTTCCCTCAAAGGACCCTTGCCCATGTCTGGAGGCATTTTGGGTTGTCACATCTTAGGGGAGGGGAGGTGCGTTGCTTGCATCTAGTGGATAGAGGCCAGGGATGCTGCTGAACATCCTACAGTGCACAAGACAGGACAGCCCCTCACAGCAAAGAATGATCCGGCCCCAAATGTCAATGGTGCCGAGAGACTGAGATGCATGCATTGTGTGACGCTGTATGTATTGCCAAGAAGGCTCTCCCAGATGTTAAGGGAAGTAAATGCACAAGACCTGAGGAATGGTGCCCCTTCCCACGCCCGGCCTAGCATCTGCGTGGGCGCCATGGCTCCCCCGGGGGGAGTCACTCACCCGATCACCTCAGGGGCCAGCTCCCGCCGATTCCGGGATTCGGAGCCAGGACCAGGCCGGTGGTAAGGGAAGACCATAGCCTGGCCGTTCTCATCCAGACGGAAGCGCAGAGAGGTGCGCAGGATGCCACTGAGCCGCTGCAGGAAGTCGGCACTGGAGCGCAGCAGCTCCTCCGGCGGCAGCAGCACAGTGAGCACCAGGACACCTCGGGCCAGCAGAGCTGGCACCTCACCCGCACAGTCCAGTCCATCCCAACCGCACTCCTCTGTGTTGCAGCCCTGGTCGCAGCGGCCGTCGGCAAAGTGGTCCGCGCAATACTTCTCATACACCGGGCTGGGGACAGAGAGGGGCGGGGTCAAGGGAGCCGCCAACTCCGCTGCACGCAAACACCACAGAGCACCCAGACCCTGGAGACAGCGCAAGCGCAGAGAACTGGAACGTATCCACGTGCTTGTGGAATGTATCAGGCTTTCTGCAAACACAGCCATTGCTTTGTAACTATTAATAAGTCAATAACTACTGAGAGCCACCTGTTATGCGCTGGGCGCTACCGTAGGCTCTAAGGATATCGCCCCAACATAAATCCCTACCCACGTGGAGCTGGCATTACAGTGGGCGGAGACGGATATTAAAGGAGATGAGTGAGCAGAATATACAGCATTTCGATCACACACCAATAAAGGCTAAATTTAGGCTAAATTTAAACACACACACACACACACACACACACACACACACACACACACATCTATATGGAATTAAATGCTAAGGAGAAAAATAAGGCTGGGGGTGGGTGGCCAGGGAGGAGCTCACTGAGAAGGTCGCTGCTTGAGCAAAAACTTGAAGGAGGTGAGGGAGGAGCCATGTGGCTTCCTGAAGGAGAGCATTCCAGGCAGAGGGAACAGCCAGTGCAAAGGCCCTGAGGTGGGGCCAAGCCTGGGGAATCTGAAGAATGGAAGAAAGGCCAGGGTGGCTGGAGCAGAATGAGCAAGGGGGAGAGTGAGGGTGGGAATGAGGACAGGAAGATAAAAGTAAGGAAAGGGTTCCAGGCAGAGGAACACACAGAGGGTCACACAGAGCACAGCACAGGGATGGACAGATGGAATGCATAGGACAAATAGACAGGGCTCATGAACAGACATAGAGAATGGCAGAAGAGGGGCAGGAACAGACATGCAGGAGCATGGACAGATGGATGGGCATATAGAGGGGCAAAAAGGGTGTGTGAATGGACAGAAGGACAGAGAGAAGAGGCATATGGATGAACAGGCGGGGCACAAAGAAGGACAGATGGGGCATAGAGACAGACAGATGGACAGATGAGGTCCAAGGATGGGCAAGCAGGTGTGCAGACAGACAGTTGGGTGTATAGAGGGACAAAAGGAATTCATGGATGGACAGAAAGACAAACAGGGCATAGGGAGGGACAGATGGAGTGCAGAAGCAGAAAAACAGACAAAAGGAGCACATGGATGAACAGACAGGTGGGCACACTGATAGACAGGCAGGGAACAAGGATGGACAGACAGACAAATGACACATGGATGGGCAAACGGTACACCAAGAAACAGATGGGTCAAGTGAAGGGACAACCCAACAGACAGATTAAGGATTGACTGACAGACCAAGGCAAACGGATGGGCAGATAGAGAGGCAGGGTCCATGGATGGTCAGATGTGACACATGGACAGACAAGACACAGAGTGAGGACCGGCTCACTTGCAGGTGCGCTCCCGGCCGCCTGCGCGGCAGTCGAAGTTGTCATAGAGGCAGGCCGGCGAGCTGCAGGCGGGGTCGCAGCGGCTGTTGTTGAAGAGGAGCCAGCACTGCAACGCCGCACACTGCCGCCAGGGGTCGCCCACGCTCAGCGAGCAGTCGCCGCCATCCCAGCCGCAGCCTGGGCTGTTGCACTCTCGGTCACAGCGCTTGTCGCCGCTTTTGGCCTCGCAGGCGGCTCTCGGGCAAGACGGCTCCTCGGGGGCCTCGGGCACCGCTGCAGGTATCTCACAGCGCGGCCCAGCCCAGCCTGACGCGCACGCGCAGCGGAAGAAGGGCGCCAGCGTCTCCGGGCGGCAGGAGCCCCCGTGGAGGCAGGGGGAGGTCACGCAGCTGGCATTGGCGGCTCCCAGTGCCGACCCCCGGGAACCCCGGCAGGCGGGACCCGACAGCCCCGGGGGACAGGCGCAGCGCGGTCCACGGACCGTCTGCTGGCACGGGACGCCCACGGGGCACTGCAACTCCCAGCAGGAACGTGCCACCCGCTCGCAGCGCGGGCCGGAGAACGGCTGTGGGTTGGGTGGGGGGAAAGGAGAGAAAAAAAAGTGCGGGGGCAGGGGATGGAGGGAGAGAAGGCGAGGAGACAGAGAGGAAGGCGGGAAAGAGAAATGGAAGGGTGGAGAAGGGGATTGAGGGTTGAAGGGGGAGAGAGAGGGGAATATGGGGGATCAGGACTTGGGAAAGGTTGGACCTCCAGTCTCCCCGGGTCTGGCTCAACCTCTCCCTCTTGCACTGGAGCCCCACCTTGCAGGTAAGCCCAGCCTTCCCCAACAGGCCACAACTCCAAATTCCAGACGGACACACACACACAAACACACAACCTCCAGGAAATTTCAACATTTCCCAGAAACCCCTTCCATCTTACACCTCTTCCCCCCTAAAGCCACACCCTCCCATGAGGGCATGATCCCACTCCTCTCCCAGAGACCTTGATGTGAGTGTCCACCCCACCTACCGGGACACAGTGGCAAGAGAAAGTCAGAGCTCCCCCAGCGCCAGGGCTGGGATGGCACTGGCCTCCATGCTGGCATGGCTGCGACTCACAGGGAGACAAGACAATCTGACAGTGGGGACCTGGGCAAGCAGAAGCACGTGGATCAGCCACAATGGGGAACACAGGCAGGATCGCAGGCCAGCCCCCTCTCCCATGCTTACCTGTGAAGCCGGCATGACAAAGGCAGTGGAAGCCCCCACCTGGGTCCTGCAAGCAGTCCCGGGTATGTGCCGCATGGCAGGCACCTGGACGACACTCATTGATGTCTGCCTCACAGCGCAGGCCGGTGTATCCCGGGGGGCAGGTGCAGCGGAAGCCACCCACCAGGTCCACACAGGTACCATTGTGCAGGCACCGGGGGCCCGGGTCCAGGGGTGGGCCTGGGCCACAGTCATCCTCATTAATCTCACAGAGCACGCCTAGGGGAAGGGGGGATGGGGAGCAGTCAGGAGCGGTCAGAAACCCAGCCTCCCGTCCTGTCCCCCAACCCTGACACTGGCCTACCCAGAGTTCCCGGAGGACACGAGCAGAGATAGCGGGCCACAAGGTCAATGCAGACGCCCCCATGCTGGCAGGGCTGGGAGGCACACTCGTCCATGTCATCCTCACAGTTGTCACTAGTGTAGCCAGCTGGACACTGCGGTGGGGGTGAGGCAGGGACCCACTCAGCCCAGAGAGACACAGATACTCACCATGAAGATACAGAGACTCCCAGTGCAAAAGGACACATACAGTCATCCAACACACAGAGACATGCCCAGTGTGCAGAAACACACACACACCCAGTGCATGGAAACACATCCAGACATGGAAGGACACGCAGGCACAAGGGCTACAGATACACTCAGAGCAAAGGGACACACACGATACAAATGCACAAGACAGACCCACAGGAGAAACACCCAGATACCCAGATACACACAAGACACACACAACCAGAGATGCACATTCAGACACTGGCACATGCATTCATACCCAAAGAAACAAGAGACACCACGCACAGAGACACACATAGATATGTCCAAGAAACAACCAAAGACAGAAGTACACCCAGACAGAGACACCCTAAGATCTACCCAGAATGACACCCACGAAGATATACCCAGAGTCACAAAAGCAAAAAGGCAGACATGCCTAGAGAGAGACACCACACCAGGCTATAGACACACAGAAATGTGTAGCCAGACCCACCCAGGAGTGACTAGCTCCCCTGTCCCCTCCACTGGGCACTCCTTACCTCGCACACATAACCTCCCATGTAGCCTCGGCAGGTGCCCCCATGCTGGCAGGGCTGGGCCAAGCAGGGGTCCACCTCCCGCTCACAGTGACTGCCTGTGTGGCCCTCTGGGCACACGCAGTAGTGGGAGCTGTCCTTGTCCACGCACTGCCCACCAGCCTGACACAGCTGCTCCATAGGCACCCCTGGACAGAGGAGAGCAGCGTCAGGCAGGCTCCCTCCTCCCGGCCCACATCACACACAGCACCACCCAACACCCCCCAACTAGCTTCAGTCACCAAGGTCTCACCCACACTCTGTCAGGTTGCCACACATCCCCTGAAACTGACACGCACACACCTTCGAAGCTCACGCCAGCTAGGTCACACACAGCGTTGCAGACATCCTGGTTGTCTCATGGTGATAGACATACACACCATCCTTGTCCTGGCCAGCTGTCACAGAGTCACATATCCCCCACCATGTCTACATGCCCTGTCGCACTCTCATTCGGCTCACACTAGCAGGAAGCATGTGCATACACACCCTCCCAAGCCCCCCAAACCCAGTCACGCGCACCCCCTCACCTTTCTGGGCTGCGGCCTCTCTGCAGGGTAGACTCTGGATGTCACAGAGGCGGCCGCTCCATCCCGAGGGGCAAAGGCAGTAGAAAGAGGCCCCGGTCCGGGCACAGTGGCCCCCATTCTGACAAGGTGTGCGGCTGCACCAGTCTACCAGCGTCTGGAAAGGAAGGCCACGGTGTCTGCTCTTGGGGACCCTTGAAAACGGACCCAGCTTCTCCTCCGGAGTCCTGGGCAGGCTCCAGAACACCTCTCCGGATTCCTCCCCCAGGATCCCGGCAGGCTTCCCAGTCAGAGTACCCAGCAGGCCCCTCCCTCAGACTATCCTTCTAGACTCTCCCCCAAGACTCCAGTGACCCCGCCCACCTGGCACTGCGTGCCGGTGAAGCCTTCAGGGCAGGCACAGCGGAAGCCGGGGTGGGTGGCAGTGCAGACGCCCCCGTGCAAGCAGGGTCGCGAGAGGCAAGGGTCGGCCTCGTGTTGGCAGTGTGCGCCAGTGTAACCCAGGCGGCACAGGCAGCTGAACGAGTTCACACCATCCACGCAGGTCCCACCATTGAAGCAGGAGCTGGAGGGAAAGGAGGGGTGTGTCAGGCCCCGCCCCCTAGAAGGCCCCACCCTCCCCCATGGCCCCCTTCTAGCTTTGAGTGGGCAAAAACCCTACCCCAAGGAGAAGCTGCAGTCCCAGCAGAGGCCCCTCCCCGCCCTGTCCCTCAGCCCCGATATACCAGGTACTTCTGGGCTACGTGGAAGCCACGTGGAGACCCCACCCTGGTCTGGCCTGGCTCCCTCAGGGACCAGGGTACCTAAGGTGACCTCCCAACAGATGGCCTGCCCCTTCCCGGACACTAACCCATCAGGCATCAGAGTCCTGAGGTGGGTGCCAAGCCGAGGACTCCCCTTGTCTCCACTCCTCAGGTCCCACTCCCCATCCGATGCCAGGGCCCCTGACTCCCAGGACAGGCCCCACCCACCTGGGGCTGCAGTCAGGTAGGTCCTGCTCGCAGAGGAAGCCTCCATAACCCAGCGGGCAAGTGCAGGTGAAGGAGGCCACGTGGTCTGTGCAGGTGCCTGGGCCGCAGGGGCTGCTCAGACACTCATCCACATCTCGGGCGCAGCGGGGGCCAGCAAAGCCAGGTAGGCAGGAGCAGGAAAAGGAGCCCACTCCATCCTGACATGAGCCACCATTCAGGCAGGGGTCTATGGTCAGAAAGGAGGAGGTCTGGTCACACACCTCGCCCCCTGTCAGTCCAGCCTGACCTGGCCATGTCTTGTGTAGAGGGGAATTAGGAGAAAACCAGGCTTAATTGGGTGGGGCACATTTGGCCAGGGGGATCAAACTCTGTCCCCTCTGTGGCCTCACCCCCTCCGTTATCTGGAAACCTCGCCTATGTGGAAGGGGGGAGGGGTTGGAGAAGCCAAAAAAAGGTCCCTTTGAGCTGCCAAGTACTAGTTGTGTCTGCTTAAGTCCTGGGCTCAGCACAGGAGGTGTCCTCCAGACCTGGGCTAGCCAGTAAAGTGGCCACTGACCACATGCGGCTCTTGAGCCCTTGACATGTGGCTGGTCCAATTTGAGATGTACTGTAAGCATAAAACAGACACCAGATTTCAGATTGTGAAGACTCAGTATGAAAAAAAAAAGAATGTAAAATATCTCAATAATTTTAAATTGATTATACTGAAATGATAATATTTTTATGTATTAGGTTAAATAAACCTGTTTTTGTTTGTCTCGTTTACTTTTTAATGTGGCTATTAGAAAAACTTTAATTCATATGTGGCTTGCATTATTTGTCCATTGAACAGTGCTCCTGGAGACTCGCTAGGGGCCTGTTATCTCATACTTCACACACAATCCTAACTTGCTTGCTGCCAGAGGCAATCTATATAGGCTTCAGAGTCCTCTCCCAGCTCATCCCTCTACTTGCTGCATGACCTTGGGCAAGTCACTTGACCTCTTTGGGGACTCAGTTTTCATAAGCAAAATGGGGAAAGTAAGATAACTGTGAAGATGAAATGAAAACACAGTGCTAGGCACATGCAGGGGCTTGATGAACCTGTTCCCTAGGTCAGCACCCCCCCCCCCAAGAGCTCCCCTGAACTCACTGGGGTCACAGTCATCGATGTCCTGATCACAAGAAGGGCCACTATAGCCCTCGTGGCAGGTACAGCTGAAACTCCCTGCCAGGTTGGCGCAGGTACCATGGGGACCACAGGGTGAGGGGCCAGCACATTCATCCACGTCCTGCTGACATCGTGAGCCTGGGGGTGGGGAGTAAAATAACACACCGGGTTAGAAGGCGCAGAGTAGGGTCTGAGGGTACCTGGCTCTCAGGAAGAACCTGAAGGCTGAGATGGACGAAGGCAAGAACAATAAGTTTGCCTCTGGGCATTTTGCACACACTGTTCCAGAACTGCCTTCTCCTTGTTTCAGAGGGTGGTGAATGCATTCTGTGACTGAGGTCTGCTCCTCCAGGCTGTCCCCAAAACTCTCAGCCTGATTCCTAGCTTCTCCAACCCCATAGCCCTTCCTCTTCTTCTGAACTGACCACATAGGCTGCAAGTACTTGTGTCTAGCTCTGTTTCTTCTCAGAAGGAAGCTCCCCTAAAAGGCAGGACCGGGAGTGACTCCCTCTCTGGGTCCCCAGCATCACCCAGTATGGGGCAGGTTGCAAAGGAGATGAGGGAGAGGCAGCTGAGGTACCTTGCCAACCAGGGGGGCAGGAGCAGACAGCCGGCTGGCCAGGGGCAGACTCACAGGAGCCCCCATGTTCACAGGGATTTGGGGCGCAGGGGGACAGCAGCTCACACTGACGGCCTGTAGTGGGCAGGCAGAGTGAGCCAGTCTTGAGAGATTCCATTTTCCCATCTCCCCTCAAGGTCCCCACCTTGATACCCACTTCCCAAGCTCCTGGGTAGGGATGGGAGAGGAAAAAAAGTGGGGGGGGGGTATAAATGCAGAGAAGGAAGGGAGAATGGAACAGAAGGGAAATGAGAAGGAAGAAGGGAGGAGGCAGCCCTGGGGAGGGAAAGTGGGGACACGCACCCTGGACACCAGGGGGACAGGTACAGCGGAAGCCCGTTCCATCACTGGTGCAGGTGCCGCCTGCCCAGCAGGGATGGGATTCACAGGCATCTCGAGCGAGGCTCTGACTGCACTGAGGGCCACTCCAGCCAAGCTCACACACGCAGCGGAACCTGAAGGGGGAGGCAGTCAGGGCTGGCAGGAGGGCAGGGAAGCAGTGGGGATCAGGGGTTGGGGAGAGGCCTCACCCTCCAGGCGCGTCGTGGCAGACGCCATGACTGCAGGGTTCTTGGGCGCAGGGATGGCTTGGGGGAAGACAGAGCGGGGGCAGGGAGCCAGGTGGGCAGAGGCATTGGAAGCCATTTTCACCATCCACGCAGGAGCCCCCCTCACCGCATGGGCTGGACGCACACTCGTTGATCTCCACGTTGCAGAGAGGCCCTGGGGAGCAGGCAGACAACCTCGTCCCAGAACGAGGATAGCCGAGCTACCGGGGAGGGACAACCTTGCCCCATTTGGCAGAGCCACACCCTTGAACAAGGACAATCTCATTTGCTTCACAACACATCAACTCTTGTGCAAATTAGGATACCCACCTCCTCAACCCAGAGATACCTTGCTCCAAATCATCCTTGCCTTGTCCCCAAACTTATATGAAATCACTTTCATTTCCACCAAGGGTTACCCTGGCCCCACTCGGAAACACCTCAGTCCCCGAGTCTGAACACCTTCCTGTATGTTCCAGGATAATCTTGAGCTAATATAGGGACAACACGCCAATGAGAGAAAGCACTGTCTCAGGGCAAAGTGTGGACAATCTCGTTGGACCAGAGTGTGCAAAGAGAGGGGCAAAACCTGGCCAAGAAAGATGGGTGATTTCACCCTCACCCTATAAAGACCTCCATTCCACGGCAGCCACTTGCCCACCTGTGAAGCCAGGCTGGCAGACACAGTCATAGCGGTTGATGCTGTCCCGGCAGATTCCAAAGGTGCAGGGGTTGCTAGCACAATCATCAATGTTCACCTCACAGTTCACACCTGGGGAAGGGGAACATGACAGGGATTGCCACCACTGTGCCCTACCAGGAGCACCACTCCCGAACCCTCTGTGTCCTACCAGATGTACTGTTTCTGCCCCAGCCCAGCCCCCGGCCCCACCTGTGGTGCCGGGAGGGCAGCGGCAGAGGTATTTGTCCACCAGGTCTAGGCATTTGCCACCGTGGCGGCAGGGCTGGCTTCGGCACTCGTCCACCTGGCTTTCACAGCGCGTGCCGGTGTAGCCCGGGGCACAGGCGCACGAGAAACTGGCGATGCCATCCACACAGCGCCCATGGTGGCATGGGTCTGGCGAGCAGTCATCCACGTTGTGCTCACACACCGTGCCCTCGAAGCCTACGGGGACAGAGGGTCAGGCCCTGCCCACTGGCCAAGGTCCTGCCCACAGCCGTGGCTTCTGCCCAATTCTGGCTCAGCTCTACCTCAGGCCCGGCCCATCGAGCCAACAGGAGGCGGGCTCAGTTCAGGCCCTGCCCCTGAATGTAGCTCCATTCCATCCAGCTACAAGCTCCAAGACTCGTCCCTGGCCAGGACCCTACCGCAGTTAAATCCCCCCCCTAGAGTGACCCTGCTTCCAATCCTTACACTATCAGCCCTGATTTGCCTCGCCCTCCACTGGAAATGGGGACACATGGGAGGTGCCTGGGGATGTAGGGGGTCGGACCCCACCCCTCCAGTTAAGTGCACAGCTATCCTGCTAGACCCTTTGGCCTCACCCCCAGCCTTACCTCTGCTTGTGTCCATCATTGGCTCCACCTCCTGGCTCTTTCATTGGCCCTGCTGAGGTCCTGCCTTGCTGCAGCCCTGCCCCCAACTTTTCCCCAAGGTAATTATTGGCCCTTTCCCCCACTAGCCCCACCTCCAGATTCCTGCCAACTTGTCACTGGCCCTCCCTCACCCTCTGCGCAGCGGCACTCATAGCCATCCGGCTGGTCCACGCACTTGGCTCCATTCCGGCAGGGTGTGCTGGCGCATTCATCCACGTCCAGCTGACACATAGCCCCGCTGAAGCCTGGAGTGGCGGGTGTGGGAGGAACAGAGGGCCAGACAGGGTCAGAGCAGTCACCCCTCACCAGAGCTGCCTTGTTTGGGTGGGGAGTCCATTTACTTAGTTTTAAATTAATTTCAATGTTTTTCATAAGGTGGCTTCTGTTATGATAGGTAACCACTAACACGGTCTTATAAGCTCCCATCCTGGAGCCTTTGCCCCTTCAGAGACTCATCTTTTTCAGGCTCCCTGGCCCAGAGTCCTCACCCGAGGGGCAGGTGCAGCTGAAGCCATTGACTCTGTCTTTGCAGACCCCGCCGTTGACACACGGGCTGCTCTGACACTCGTCCATGTCCACCTCGCAATAAGTGCCTGTGAAGCCTGGGGGTAGAGGGAAGGGGATTAGGGCAATGGGGGTTAGCTTCTGGTCTGAAGGGAGAGCGAGGGGGGACATACCCCCTTCCCACTTACACACAGTCCCCCTGAGCCTTGGCCTTGCCGCCTCCCAACCCCAGATTCAGTTTTTAGACTCAGGCTGGACCTTCATTCATCTGTGGCCCCAACTGGTTCAAGGCTTATGAGACTCCCTATGGGCCTTGCCTACAGACCAGCCCTTGCCCTCAGACCAGCCCTTGCCCTCTCCAGTCCTCAGACTCTGTCTTGTCCCCAGGTCCCAGCCTCAGGGCCCACCATAGCCTTGTGCCCAGCCTCAATCCCACCCCCGGCATCAGTGCATTTCTGTCTGCAGCCTCCGCCTTGATCACTCCAGACCGTGGTCCTGCCCTCATGTCATTGCCACCCCGTAGTGTCCAGACTCCACTCCCAGACCCTCTGAGGTTCCACCGACTCCACTTGACCATGCCTGCTCTGGCTCCGCCTCCACCTCATCCCAGGGTTCAGCCTCACAGTCCCAGCTCCCTCCCCTCCCCGGCCCAGCCTGAGGCTTTTCTCACCCCGCCTCCCCACCTCAGGTCCCGCCCCAGCCACGCCCACCACACACCTGCCATGCAGATGCAGGTAAACTGGCCTATACGGTCGAGGCACGTGGCCTGGTTGCGGCAGGGGCCGGAGAGGCACTCATTGACATCGGTCTCGCAACGCGGACCAGTGTAGCCACGGCCGCACTGGCACAGGAATGAGCCCTGTGTGTTCACGCACCGGCCCAGGTGCTCACAAGGGTTGGCACCTGCAGGAGGAGTCACAGAGGGTGTAGGTGTGGCCAGCTGACAACCGCCTCACCCCTCCTTCCCTACTCTCAGATGGCGCCCCCTCACCGATGGAACACTCATCCACATCCTGGTCACAAGCCCCGCCTGTGAAGCCAGGTGGACAGGTGCAGATGGCCCTGCCGTTCACCGGGTTCGTGTCGCAGATAGCATCCTCGTGACAGGGGTTGCTGACGCAGGCGTCATCCAGATGACACAGAAGTCCTGGGAAGGAGTAGGCAGAGGTCAAGGGCAGATATCCCCCCCAGCTCTGCCCAAAGCTCCCACACCCCCAAATATGGTATTGCGTTTTGTTTTTACTAATCAGCATTGTATTTAGTAGCTATTTTCCCCCAATCATTTATTATGAAAAGTTCAAACATACAAAAAAAGTTTATTCATATACCCACCACCTAGATTCAACTATTGTAAGCTTTATCTATCTTTTTTTCTGAACCATTTGAAGTTGGAAACATCCACATATTGTTTTTTTGTTTTTTTGCGGTATGCGGGCCTCTCACTGCCGCGGCCTCTCCCGTTGCGGAGCACAGGCTCCACACGCGCAGGCCTAGCGGCCAAGGCTCACGGGCCCAGCCGCTCCGCGGCATGTGGGATCCTCCCAGACCGGGGCACGAACCCGTGTCCCCTGCATCGGCAGGCAGACTCTCAACCACTGCGCCACCAGGGAAGCCCCACATATTGTTTTTAAATCTACTGATTCTTTTTCTGATTATAAAAGGGTCCTACCATCAAGTCTTTGCTTCTGCAGTACCCTCTGTCTGACATACCCTTCCCTCCATTTCAAGTCCCCCTCCCAAACACCTTCTCTGACCTTTGCCACTTCTGTTTGGACTTGTTCCCCCTCTCTTTCTCAGTCACAGTTTAGCTCTAAATTCCCATGGTTTTTGCCCTGGACTGTTTGCCAGACTCCTCCCAGGCTTCTCCCAGGCTTATCCTTCACCCCAAATCTAGCTTCCAGCATAATCATTCTAATACTCAAGTCACACTCCATCCTTGCCTCTACTCAAGAACCATCAATGGCTCCCTGCTGCCTACAGGGAAAACAGCCACTCACCAGTTTTGCCCATGGGGCAGGCACAGTAGAAGGAGGCCACACGGTCATGGCAGGTGGCCCCATGGAAGCACACGGCCGTGGCACAGTCATCAATATTCTGACTGCAGCTCTCGCCTGTCCAGCCATTGACACACACACAGCTGTGGCCACCCAGTGTGTTGAAGCAAGTGCCCCCATTGTGGCAAGCGTTGGGCTGGAGTTGACACTCGTCCACGTCCTCCGTACAGAACTGGCCTGTGGCACACAGATGCACCAGTCTAGTCACCTGGTGCATGCCAACCCAAGGTCTTCCCTCTAGTCCCACTGCTCACCTGTCCACTCAGGAGGGCACTGGCAGTTGTAGGTGTTGACACCGTCCACACACGTCCCCCCATTTAGACATCGGTGCCCTGGACAGTCGTCCACGTTCACTTCACAGTTCTGGCCCTCGAACCCTAGCATGGGAGGAGGAAGCAAGGATGGTCATTGCCAGGCTGGCCTGCTGTCCCCCCACCTCTGCTGCCTCCCTTAGGTACAGCTCCCTCACCAGGAAGGCAGGCACAGTCGTAGGTGAGGTCGCCACTCTGTCTACAGGTGCCCCCGTTACGGCACGGCGAGGGGGCACAGGCCACCAAGGGGCTCTCACACAGTGGCCCTGTGTAGCCAGCTGGGCACTGGCAGCGGAAGGAGCCAGGTGTGTTGAGACAGGTGCCACCATGGCGGCAGGGTCCGCCCATCCGGCACTCATCCACGTCGCTTCGGCAGCTGCGGCCCTGGTAGCCAGGTGGGCAGGAGCAGACGTAGCGGCCATCGGACCCCACCGAGCAGCGGGCACCATGGGCACAGGGGCTGCTGAGGCAGGGGTCTGGCAGGGAGCAGTCTGGGCCTGGACGGAACTTGTTTTTAAATCTACTGATTCTTTTTCTGATTATAAAAGGGTCCTACCATCAAGTCTTTGCTTCTGCAGTACCCTCTGTCTGACATACCCTTCCCTCCATTTCAAGTCCCCCTCCCAAACACCTTCTCTGACCTTTGCCACTTCTGTTTGGACTTGTTCCCCCTCTCTTTCTCAGTCACAGTTTAGCTCTAAATTCCCATGGTTTTTGCCCTGGACTGTTTGCCAGACTCCTCCCAGGCTTCTCCCAGGCTTATCCTTCACCCCAAATCTAGCTTCCAGCATAATCATTCTAATACTCAAGTCACACTCCATCCTTGCCTCTACTCAAGAACCATCAATGGCTCCCTGCTGCCTACAGGGAAAACAGCCACTCACCAGTTTTGCCCATGGGGCAGGCACAGTAGAAGGAGGCCACACGGTCATGGCAGGTGGCCCCATGGAAGCACACGGCCGTGGCACAGTCATCAATATTCTGACTGCAGCTCTCGCCTGTCCAGCCATTGACACACACACAGCTGTGGCCACCCAGTGTGTTGAAGCAAGTGCCCCCATTGTGGCAAGCGTTGGGCTGGAGTTGACACTCGTCCACGTCCTCCGTACAGAACTGGCCTGTGGCACACAGATGCACCAGTCTAGTCACCTGGTGCATGCCAACCCAAGGTCTTCCCTCTAGTCCCACTGCTCACCTGTCCACTCAGGAGGGCACTGGCAGTTGTAGGTGTTGACACCGTCCACACACGTCCCCCCATTTAGACATCGGTGCCCTGGACAGTCGTCCACGTTCACTTCACAGTTCTGGCCCTCGAACCCTAGCATGGGAGGAGGAAGCAAGGATGGTCATTGCCAGGCTGGCCTGCTGTCCCCCCACCTCTGCTGCCTCCCTTAGGTACAGCTCCCTCACCAGGAAGGCAGGCACAGTCGTAGGTGAGGTCGCCACTCTGTCTACAGGTGCCCCCGTTACGGCACGGCGAGGGGGCACAGGCCACCAAGGGGCTCTCACACAGTGGCCCTGTGTAGCCAGCTGGGCACTGGCAGCGGAAGGAGCCAGGTGTGTTGAGACAGGTGCCACCATGGCGGCAGGGTCCGCCCATCCGGCACTCATCCACGTCGCTTCGGCAGCTGCGGCCCTGGTAGCCAGGTGGGCAGGAGCAGACGTAGCGGCCATCGGACCCCACCGAGCAGCGGGCACCATGGGCACAGGGGCTGCTGAGGCAGGGGTCTGGCAGGGAGCAGTCTGGGCCTGGACGGAACCAGAAAGGGTGAGCCTGGGCTGACCACACCCTTGCCTGCCCCGGGCTCCCTTCCAGACCCTCCCTTACCTCGGAAGCCACGGGGGCAGCGGCAGGAGAACCGGGCGGTGCCTGACACCACCGAGCTCTGGCAGACACCATGGCCAGCACAGGGGCCGGAATGGCAGGGGTCTTCCAGCTGACACCGTTCACCCACCCAGCCTGGTGGGCACCTGTGGGCAGAAATGGCCTGGTGGGGAAAGTGAGGGCGGGACGGCCCCAAACACACAAGAGATATGCACAAGAAAGACAAGAAACACACAAGCAAACAAACACGCACACTCATTCATCCATGCAACAAATATTCCCTGAGCACCTACTAAGTTCTTAGCAATAGGAATACAGCAGCAAACACAATTAAAGTGGCCTCTACCTTCTTGATGTTCACAGCCAGGTCCAGCAAACAGAAGATATACAAATAATGAATTAATAAACAACATGCCGGTGTGGGGCGGTGGTGAGGGCCATTAGGGCCATGAAAGATGTAGTGGGTTGAGTGGTGGCCCCAGAAAAGTTATGTCCATGTCCCAGAACCTGTGACTGTGACCTTACTTGGAAAAAGAGATGTAATTAGTGATGTAATTAAATGATGGACGTCAAGATGAGATCATCCTGGATTATCCAGGTGGGCCCAAAATTGAGTGACAACTGTCCTTACTTACAAGTGAAAGGCAAAGGGAGATTTGAGAGAAAGAGAAGGCCATGTGAAGAGACTGGAGGAACACCTGGAGGTTCTAGAAGCTGGAAGAGGGAAGGAAGGACTCTTCGCTAAAGCCGTTGGAGAGACCGTGATTGCCAATACCTTGATTTCAGACTTCTGGCCTCCAGAACTGCTAGAACAAATTTCTGTCGGTTTCAACCACTCAGTTTGTGGTAACTTGTTACAGTAGCCACAGGAAACTAAGACACAGGATAAGGAGGATAGTGATGGGGGTGGGGAAAAGGCAAATACATTTTCACAGTGAGGGAGGGGGTCATGGGACTGTGTGGGGAAGAGTAGAGGAAACGGGAAATGCGAAGTCTCAGGTTCCCAGGCACACACAGACAGACCCTAAAATATACACAGATACACAGAAGGACACACCAACACGATGTGTTGCCCTGGCAAATACTCAGATACCAACCCATAGCCTCATTCACGAATATGGACTCTCACATGGACAGGCAGAACCCCCACCAATCCTCAACTCCTTTCCTGGGGGCACATACAACCCTTCCTTCCGTTGCGAGGAGGTGGCCACCAACGCTGGCGCCCTCTTGTTGGAGGAAGGTCCTTCAGCCTGCAGCCCCCTCCAAACCCACCAAGGCAACCTTGAACGTGCGGGTAAATATGGGGGTTGGTCTTAAGACCAGAAACTTCCAGACGGTGGGGTCAGAGGGAGGGGCTTGGAGAGACAAGAGGGTCCAGGCCCGTCCCCCGACGCTACCCACCCCTCGCGCCGGTTCCTCCTCTGGCTTGTGCAGGTCGCTCGGGGCTAAACTTAAGGAGCTGACTCAGTCTTCAGCGTCACCCACAAGATCCCCTCACCCCGGCCCCCACTGAAACAAGTCGGGGCACGGCCGGGTGCAGATGGTGTAAGAAGGGGAGAACCCAGCCTCCAAGCGCCCTCTCCCAAAGCCCTCAGGCCAAGGACGGCAGCCAAGACTGCTCGCCGGGAGAGGAAGTGCTGCTCTGGGCGCCGAGAACTGCGCACTGCCCCCCCCGCCCACGTCAGGCAGGGCGTGGCCGCGCGGCCCCCTCCCGGCGCCCCGGGCGGGTTCCCACGCTCTGCGCCCCGCGCCCCTGCCGACCGGTCTGGCTGGTTCCAGCTTCGCCCGCGCCCCGCCCAACCGCCTGTGCTTTGCGGGAGACGGGCGGGGGCAGGGGTGTGTGTTGTGGGGGGGAGCACGGGCTTGGCGGGGTGGACTGGCTGCGGAGGCGAGCACTAAGAGACAGAGACAAGGGTTTGAGAGCCTACTTTGAAGGGGAGAGTTGGGGGGATCCATGGAGGGGTGACAGATTGGGGCGACCCCGAAAGGACACGAGAATTTGGAACCTTCAAGGAGACTTGGGGTGGGGGGCGTGGGGAGTGCTTCCCACGGCCCAGGTCTGGGGACTGAGCTCTCTCCACTCCGGGCGATCCGGGCTCCGGGCCGCCGCGCGGGCCGGTGATTCACCTGTCGGGGGGCGGGGCAGCCGCGGGCGCATTCACCTGTCGGCAGCATTCCAGGCGCGGAGCTCAAAACGCAGGCGCCCAGCCACGCGGCTCCGCCTCCCAGATGAGTAGCTCTGGGTAAGGTCCCACTTTACCCCTGACTCCCACCGTCCTAACCCGAGGAACCCGCTCAACCAGGCTAAGACCCCCACCCACGTGAGCCACAGTGGTGCTCCAAAGTGCGTGTGTAACTTCAAAGGGGCTCTAATGTCAACCCAGCCCACCCAGCTTGGACCTGGCACACATATTGCTGAATAAATGGATACATTAATGAATCGATCAACGGCTAGTGGGTGAGCTGCTTTTACTAATGATAATATTATAGAAAGGAACCAAGCATTTCCCCATAACCTTGAGAGGTTCCACCTTATGGCACCTATTTCCTGTGTCCCTACCATTATTAATAATGATAATCCCATTTATTAAGCATGTACTGAATGCCCAACACTATGCTGGTTTCACCATATGAAGGGTCTCAATCTTTACAATCAGCCCCATAAAGGAGGGAACTATTATTGCCCCATTTTCCAGATGCAAAAGCTAAGGCACAGAGAGCTCAAAGCACTTGCTTTGAGCCCAGAATTCAAACTGAGTTCTGTCTGCCTGTGCTCAGCAATATCCCAAGGCCCTGCCCTGCTCCCGCAATCCTCTGTCTTTCCTTGCATTATCCAACGTTGCATTTTTGGGGCCCCTTCTGGTCACAAGCCAGGGAGAAGCACGCTGTGTCACAGATCAATGAGGTTCAGGGAGGGGAAGTGACTCACTCAAGGTCACACAGCAAGAAAGTGGCAGATCAGGGCTCTTGTGTCCCCACCACTGAATCTTGAGATGTGGGAATGTGCAGATGCTGTACCCACTACTACCAAGCCACTGTCACTACTGCCTGAAAGTTTGTTGATTGAATAACTACCTGTCCATCAGGGGATTTACACAAGACCTCAGGCAGCAGAGAATTCTGTGAAGTTGGCATTGGTGGGCCCATCTTCCAGACTGGGACACTGGGGCTTAAAGAGTTTTAAGTCTCAGGCCATCAGCAACATGATATGGGATTTGAACCCAGGCCAGGCAGACTCCAGAGCCTCTGCTCCTAACTCTGCTGCATTCAGTGGGGAAACAAGGGGTTGCCCAAGGCACACACATGTAGGAAGTGGTAGAAGCCTCTGTGATGAACACAGAGGCAGGGGGAGAAGACAGACCGCCTCCCCGGACAGGGCCCACTCATGGCTCAGAGCCAGGCACTCACAGGCAGGCAGCCTCCCGGGAGGGCAGCTGGGTGCAGCGACCTCCATTCGCACACGGGCTTCCATCCAGGCAAGGGGGCGCTGGGTAAGGGTGAAGGAAGGTGGGGGTGTCAGGAAGGCACCCAGGAACCCCAGCCCAGAGTGAGACTCCCTCCTTTCCTCCCCCAGGCAACAGCTGCGCCAGGCTGGGGGCATCTCTGCGAGTGCTGGGAGCCCCCCATCCACAGTTCCCACGGCCCCCCGCCCTGGCCCCAGCTGTTAGGGCTGCAGCTGTCCCTGCCAGCTCAAGCCCTGGGAACCACAAGGCAGGGGCGGGCAGGAGGAGGGGCCGACTTATGCCAGATGTGGGCACTCAGAAGCTGCCAGAATGGGGGGGGGGGGCTAAGGCAGGGGGGGGGGGGGCGGCGACCTCCATTCGCACACGGGCTTCCATCCAGGCAAGGGGGCGCTGGGTAAGGGTGAAGGAAGGTGGGGGTGTCAGGAAGGCACCCAGGAACCCCAGCCCAGAGTGAGACTCCCTCCTTTCCTCCCCCAGGCAACAGCTGCGCCAGGCTGGGGGCATCTCTGCGAGTGCTGGGAGCCCCCCATCCACAGTTCCCACGGCCCCCCGCCCTGGCCCCAGCTGTTAGGGCTGCAGCTGTCCCTGCCAGCTCAAGCCCTGGGAACCACAAGGCAGGGGCGGGCAGGAGGAGGGGCCGACTTATGCCAGATGTGGGCACTCAGAAGCTGCCAGAATGGGGGGGGGGTGCTAAGGCAGGAAGTGAGGGTGCTGCTGAGTGTTGAAGGGAGGTCTGGGGCTGTGTGCCCAGATCCTGGGATTGCGGAGGGGGCAGTGGCGGGGAGTCCTAGGGGCATATGGGTCTTCCTTCCGCTGATGTTGGGCATCTACTCCAGCTGGGCAGGCCTGTGTGCTAGGTCTGGGGAGAGATGCCAAGCCATGTACTCCATGTGCCTCCAGCATTGGGTGTTGCAGGGATAGGGTTTGTATTGAAGGGAGGGGCAGCCGGCACAAGATGTGGGCTGCCCTGTCCAGCGTCGCCATCCCTGAGGGCTGTGTCCCTCTGGGGTGTGGCACAGTCGAACTGTCCTGTCAGATGGGTCAGGGGCGTGGCAGGGTGTGAGCTAGTGGAGAATTGTGTGTGCCAGCAGGTGTGGGGCTGCTGTGTGCATGTGTGCCTGTGTGTGCATGTATGAGAGAGAGAGAGAGAGAAAGGGAGAGGAAGAGGAAAATTAGAAAAACAGAGACAGACATAAAAGAGGAAACTAGAAGCAGGCAGACAGAGAGGAGGAGATAAGAGATGGACAGAGACAGATAAAAAGGGAGATAGAGATGGACAGAGACAGATAAAAAGGGAGATAGAGATGGACAGAGACAGATAAAAAGGGAGAGACAGAACAAATTAAGCTGGACATGGGAATGCACCAAACAGGGCTTCTGTCCCCTTCCTCAAGGGACAAGCAGACAGGACACTATTACCCAGACAGGAGCCCGTGGGTGTTTGCGAACTCACACTGGGGGCCACGTGACACAAGCCGTGGGCCCTGCTGAGCTCTGGGCCCTGTGAGCCACACGTGTGTTTGCGTGACCTGCATGGATGTAGAGATGTTTATAGACTGAAACTTTTTGTGTGTCCATGTATGTGAACTATGTATCTGGGTATATAGCTGTGTGTCTGTGTGTGACCTCTGTGTGCCTGGGTGTGTCTGTGTATGGGTTGGATGTGCCCGTCTGTCTGCATGTGTGAGCTGGGTGTAGGCATGTCCTTGCATCTATGTGCATCTGAGTGTGTGCAGGCAGTGTGTGTGAGGTCTTGGGCTGGTGGTGCAGGGTATGTGTGAACATGTGTCAATGTGTGTGCATGCGAGTGTGAACACATGTGAGCTGTGTATGTCTGTGCCTTGTGTGAGCTGGGTGTATTCCTCTGCAGGTGTACTCTGTGCGTGTGTGCGCACGCGCACGTCCGCATCTCTGCATGTGCGACCCAAGACTGTGTGTCCTGTGAATGTGTGACAGGCCATGTGGGTGTGCGCTGGCCTCGCGGGGGCGGCTGCTCCTGCCTGGTCCTGCCCCATCGACCCCGGGGCTGAGCTGGGGAGGCCCATTTCCTCCCGCAGCCCCCACCCCTCCCAGTGCTGAGCCCCACGTCAGGGTCCAGAGACCCAGGGCCAGGGCCACTCGGCCCGCATCCCTTCCCTGCCGGCCAGGCCTCCCTTTACGGGGTGCACCCCTGCAGCCCCGGCCCGGGCCCCGCCGCTGTGCCGCTTTGTCTGGCAAAGAAAGCGCGAGGCTGGCCGGGGGGAGGGGGTGTCTAGACGGCGCGGCCATTGTCCCGGGCGGGGGAGGGGAGAGTGGGGAGGGGGAGGGGCGGGGCCCCCCGGCAGGCTGGGTAGGGGCTTGGGCTGCGGGGAGGGGGCGCCGGAGCCGGAGAGGAGCACGTGGGCTCGCGCCCCCTGCCCTCCCCTCCCTTCCCAAGGCGGGGACGGGGTCCCGGGGCCGTCCGGTCCTGGCAGCCAGGGGCGGGAGCGGGGCCGCGGGCGGGGGAAGGGGCGCGGGCGCAGCTCTGGCTCCAGCTCCAGCTCTGGGTCCGGGTCCGGGTCTTGCCGCGCTCCGGCCTGGGAAGTTTTCTCCGAGTTTAGAGCTCCGAGAACTTCGCGCCACCTCCCCGCCCCCCGCCCGGCCAGCCCTGCTCGGAGTGGGGTGGGGGGCTTTTGTGTGAGGGGTCCCCGACGTGGGGGTACTTGGGTCCCAATCGTGACCTTCCCAGGACTCCAGACGGGCGTAGGTTGTGAGAGAGCCCCAGATTCTTGGTTACCCACGCCCCCGCACCACCACCCCCCGCGCTAATCTTGATTCCCGCACCTCGAGCTCCCAGTCCTGGGCTCCTGTGTCCCTTCATTCCCAGCTCAGATCTCCCCTGGGCCCCAGTTCCTCGGGCTTCTGGGGTCCTGCCTCGCCCCCACTCCCAATTCTGGGTCCCTGACCCCCGGGACTGCCACACAGTCCCCGGGCTCCTGCGCTCCCTGTCTCTGCGCTCTGGTCCTTGGTTCCCAGGCCCGCGAGCCCCAGACTCGGGGAGGCCTGGCACTCCGTTCTTACCCTTCCCCCACCCACTCACCCCATCCCGCCCGCCAGGTCCCGGCCCCTCACCTGCAGCCCCCGGCCCCGCTAGCAGTAGCAATAAGGGCAGCGTCCGCACGGACGGCAGGGGTGGCGGCGGCGACATCAGGCGAAGGCGGCGGCGGCCCCGGGGCCCCGGCCCCATGGCGGCCGGCCGCGACCCTTCCTCCTCCCTCCTCCCTCCTCCCTCCTTCCCTGGGCTCCTGGCGCGTCCCGGGCCAGCCTCCGCGCCGCCAACTTCGCTGAAGTGAGACTGCCGGACAGCCCCGCCCCCAGCCCTGGGCGGCTCGCTCCGCCCCGGGGCCAGCCCTGAGCTCCCCCGCCCCCGGCCTGGCCTCCCGGGGTCCCTGCCCACCCTCCACCCACACAGCCTGGGACCCGAAGACCCTCTTGGAAACTCAGGCCAGCTATGCGGTGAGACGCGGGCCCAACCAGCGTGACAGACACACCCAGCCTCCTAAACATCACCGCTGCTCCCCAACACCCATCCAGAGCGGGAGACACACACAGAGCCAGGACACAAACACAGATACTCCCCCACCCCCGACACCCCGAAACTGAAGCCAGGCACGTCCTGCAAGGCTCATGAACACACAGCCAGGATGCACAAATGCAGAGGCATGCACAGAGCTTCCTGGGGACTTAAAATCTGAAACACTCACAAACTCTAAACTCAGGCCCAGCCAGACCTTGAGCCTTAGGCGATTTTTGCAGCCTCGGACCTCAGACACAGGCTAGGAGTCTTGTGTGTTACCATACACCCACAACCCTTCTTACTGTCAGCCCTCCCTGAAAGCAGCCCCTTCCTCCTCACTACCCTGTGTGAACCCCAAAAGTCCAACCCACCCCCCAGCCCCACCCCATACCCTATACAACTCTGCCAATCAGCCAGTCTTGCTCAATTTGATCAAACTGTCTTCTCCAAAATCAGTCATACTGCAAAGCCACCCTGCAGTGGGCTCTGTCCCTGTGGCAAGAATGGGGGCCCCAGAAAGGCCCCATGCCCAGCCCTAGAGAAGCTCTCAGTCTGAGGAAGAAAAAAAGGGACACAGACACCCCCAGCACTGTGGGCTTAGGGCTGGGCCAGCGGGAGGGACGAGTCTGGGGAGGGCATGCAGAGGGGTCGGTGAGGGCTCTGCTGGGGGAGGGGGGGTTACTTATTCATTCATTCATTTATTCAACAAATAAATATAAAGCTCCAGCTCTCTGTCCGGCTTTGTTCCAGAGGCTGGGGATACAGTTTCCTCCCCCAGGGAGGGCGTCACTGAGAAGGGTTCAGAGGGGCTCAGCCCAGAACTGGAAGAAAGACATCCCAGCAGAGACAGGTCTGCACCCAGAGGAGGGGGCAGAGTCAAGTCGGGAGGGAGGGGAGAGTGGGCAGCTCAGGCCCTGAGGAGGAGGAGGAGGAGGAGAAAGAGGCCAGGCTGACCTGTAAGTATCTGGCTCGGTGATGAGGCTGCAGGGAGGAATGGGTTGGGGGTGCGGTGCTGAAACCGAGGAGCCTGAGCGTCACCCATGAGGCAGCTAAACACTGGGGCTAAGCATGGGGCACCAAGGTGGGAGACAGTCACAACTGACCAGGGCCCAGTATGGGAGATGACCCGCAGCCCTGCTGAGGCTGGCAGGTAGCCCAGCCACAGGGGACAGGAACTGAGGATGTCCTGCCTCTCTCAACTTATGAGTTCAACCTCCATCTGGGAGGAGAGCTATCCACCCATCTTATGGGTCAGCCCCCATGGGGATGGGTATCTGCCCATCTTATGGTGACTTGCTGAAGGCTTTCTAGAGGAAGAGCTAAGATTTGAACCCAAGTCTGATTGACTGCAGGCCACATGGAGTGAGAGGGGTGGGAATGGGGGTGGGGATTGGGCAGAGAAAAAGACAAGAGTTGCACAATAAGAAGGGCTTACTCACTGTGAGTGTGCTGAGTCAACAGGCCCATGGGGCAGGTGCCGCTTAAGTCCTTCCCATGCCCATCACCCCAGGAGGAAATCCAAGCCCCCCAGCCCTGCTTTCAGAGCCTTCAGACCCTCTCCAGCCCCTCCTGTCCCCTTCATCATCACACTGAGTCAAACTCCATCTTCACCCAGCAGGCTTTGCACTCTCATGGCCTTTGCTCCGGCTGTTCCTTCTGCCTGGGACACCCAGCTGGTTAGAAGGACCCTTTTGCATTGCTTCCTCCCCAAGCAGGAACTCACAGCAGATGTGTTCTCTTTAAAAATGCATTTCACAGGAGTTCCCCGGTGTCCTAGTGGTTAGGATTCCAGGCTTGCTTTCTTTTTAAAAATTATTTATTTATTTGGCCGCGCCGGGTCTTAGTTGCGGCACGCAGGATCTTCCTTGCTGCCTGCTAGATCTTCGCTGTGGCATGCAGACTCTTAGTTGAGGCATGTGGGATCTAGTTCCCAGACCAGGGATCGAACCTGGGCCCCCTGCATTGGGAGCCTGGTGTCTTAGCCACCAGACCACCAGCGAAGTCCCAGATTCCAGGCTTTCACTGCCGTGGCCCGGGCAGGGAACTGAGATCCTACATGCCACGCAGCATGGCCAAAAATAAATAAATAAAAATGCATTTCCTTCTAGTTACAGGGAATGCTCTACTACTTCCTGCACATGCCACTGTTTTCTCCATGCTGGTCCCTCTTTCTAGCATGCCTATCCATCCTCCATTCCTGTACCTGATGAGCTCCTATTCTTCAAGATTCCAGTTCCAGTAAGCCCTCTCCGCTCCCCACCACCAGCTCTCCTAGTGCCCTCTTGCCCTACCGCTCGGCCTTGTCCACAGGGGGCTGGGGGTGTCTGTATCCTGCTCTTTCTTTGCTTCTCTATACTGGGGGCTCCCGAGGCGCCAGGCATGACCCAGCATGAGGTGGGCACTGAGGGGGCAACATGGGAGAGTTTGGTGACTCCGGAAGTGGCTGAAGGAGTTGGGAGGCTTAGCCCAGAGGAGCCACCACTGGGGGCCCAGACCACTCTCTTCAGTACCATTCTAGGGATCTGAGGGTCCAGAGACTAGGGGTCCAGGGGGCGAAGATAGGGTCTTCAGCAGTGGGGGCTAGCTCCTCCCCTGACCCATCTGAGAAAGGACTTTCTGCTGGAAGAGATGCTCTAGTAGGTGCTGAGCTCCCTGTCACAAGGAGCAACCAAGAACCTGGACACACATTTTGCTAGGCAGGAAGTCAAAAGTCTGCTACTCTGTTGATCCAATGGCCCCTGGTCTGTGGCAGACAGAGACAGAGAGGGAGCAGTAATGGTGAGTACAGCATGGGGGCAGTGGGGACAAAAGGAAGATACCCTACTGGTGTCAGTCCCTTTCTGAAGCCTCCGAACTCTGAGGGCACCCACTCAGCAAGGCAGAAGGTGTGCGTCCCCTCTCCAGGTTTCTGCTGCCCTCCAGCCACGGTGGCCAGAATAGCCCAAGGTGTCTGGATCCTTGAGGGACAGGACAGTCAGAGCAATTATTCCCACGGCTTTGCAGCAGACAGCTGCCCAGTTCCCAACGTGGTGGGGGTAGGGGTTGGCTTGAGCCGTCTCCCCTGCCCCTGCCGGCTGCCTTGGCCAGGGACTGCATTTCTCCTCAATGAGCTCAGTCCCCAGGGATGCAGGTCCTGGGGCCAAGCCAAGACACAGCTGCTGGGCCCAGGCCCACTGACCGGGAACCTGAGAACGTGCCCTTGGCTTATCCTCTTGGGACCACAGTCCTGTCCTCTACACATGGAAGCTGGGGCCAGGCTGTCACACCCAGGCAGTGGGCCATGGGAGCCCAACAAGAACCAGCAGGAGAGAGAGCTGGTGGGTATGGGGCCTGGGCAACAGTGGGAAGGCTGGATCCCAGGGGTTGTGGGCTGCAGACCCAGCCAGCTATCCTGGCCACTGCCTCCCTGGGGCTCTCTCATGCTCAAGTGGCTCAAGGCCACTGCCTCCCTGGCTCCCCACTGCCCAGAGTGACACACTCCTCACCTTGCCAGTTCCCCTTCCCTGTCTCCCAGGCTTCCCGGTTTTTGCACAGGCTGTGCCCACTGCCGGGAACACCTTTCTCATATTCGGGAGACTCCATTCACCTGACGGCTCACTCTGACCCTCCAGCTCTTCTCACCTTCATTCAGTCATTTGACAAACGTATACTGAGTAACTACTTGGTGCCAGGCCCTATTATAGGTAGAGGTGACAAAGACAGAGCTTTTTGCCCTGATAGGGGAGACAGACTAGTAACAAGAAGACAAACAAATAAGAACTATAGAATGTGCATGAGAGATGAAGAGATTTCAGTTCTAGGGGGTCAGGATAGGCCTCGCTGATGAGGGGACATTAGAACTAAGATCTGAAGGAGGAGAACAAGCCAACGAGGCAAACAGCCTGGAAGCGTGTTCCAGGCAGAGGGAACAGCAAGTGCAAAGGCCCAGAGGAGAAAGGGGCGGGTAGAAAAGAAGAACAGCAACGAGGCCAGGGTGCTGGGGGAAGAGTGAGCAAGGGGAGGGAGCTCAGGGAAGCTGATGGGGGCCAAGTTCCAAGGGGCCAAAGGGTCTGGGGTTGTATGAAAAGTACAGTGGACACCACTGGAGGGTTTTAGCAGGGGGAAGCTGATGTGATCGAGGCTGGAAAAAATAACACTGCCATTTCTTCTCCCAGGGAACCTTCCCTGCAGTTTCCCATGGTCTCCTCTGGCTCCTACGGCCTCTTCCGTTTCAACTCCGACCACTCCATGTGACCCTACCTGGCTCCCACGTCATTCTGAGCTCTGTGGGCCTCTGTCTTGCTGACGACTGAATCCCCAATGTCTAGCACAGAGCCTGGCACATAGTAGGTAAAATAATTGTCAGTTGAATGAATGAATATACCCAGCACATCTCGGGGGAAGAGCAGGACCCAGGAGCTGGGACTCGAATCTGCTCAGAGCCAGCCTTTGAGATGTCCCTGTCTGGACACAGACATGTCTGGCCTCCATTAGATCAAAGCTCAGTCAGAGGAAGGGATGGGGGCTGATGGGGCTTCCTGGAGGAGGAGTGGATGTGAGGGCTGAACGTGGAAGAAAGAGGAATGAAAAGAAGGGAACTTAACTGTAATCAAGCACCTACTGGTTCTGCCGCTCTGGGCAGGGGAAGCAGGGAGGCCATACCCCACCCCTTCTGGGGTGGAAGCAGTGGT